TGATATCTATTGAGCGTTAAACTGAATTTAAATGTACAAACTTAATCTTTGTAATAGAGGCTTATCGAAAGCGGGGATTTAAAAAGTGCGTGGTGCCTGGTTGTACTGATACAATCAGTAAAAGGCATACATTTCCAAAATATGATGCCGCCCTTACATGGTATATCGGTGATACCGATTATTTTTGAATTACGAACAACTTGCATAACTGTTATTTTTATGCATTGTATTAAAAAAATACACAATTTGAAAAAAATCTGTTTGCGCCTTATTTTACTTAAAATACTTTGTATATAATTTGAATATGTAATACAAATTCAGCTCCACAGTGTAAGAGGGAAGTCCAAAGATGGCGCTAGGTATTCTAGAGTTTTAAAGGGTTCTGTAACAGTTCGTATAGGTTCTATAAAAAGTTACCAGGGACGGCGCTACAAACCTTACTTATCATTACAGATTCCCCTATAAAGTAGGTGTTATGTGATAGGAGCTATTAAAATGACAACGACGGTGTGTCAAAATTCATCAAGCCGTTTGGCCTGTAGCCTGTGAAATAGAATTTCTAGGATGTGTACATACCCACGAGCGAAAAACATTACCCTCTTTCTGAGAGAGTTGGGTAAAAATACAAAAACCCGACTGCAGTAACTGAACAAAAAAAGTTTTAATTGTGCTATCAAGACGAATCTAGACACCTCAAATATAGGAAGGCGGAACAATGAGGAATATGCCTTTTGCCCCAAAGTTGGCGCTTATAGTAATATTGGAACTTATCATCTTCAAATTATAGATATCTACTGGAAAACATTTTCTGGAGTTTTATAAAAAAATTCGTTATGAACTACTATTCTGAATTGCATGAGGTCAACCCCATATAGGGTGTGCATTTGAAAACTAACCACCACGGATTTATCGAAGACTACTGATTGAAAGAATTAACGCCGAGACAGGTCAAAAGGTTTGTCAAGGGGGACAACTCTTTAACCAAAAAATACTTCACCCGCTTTCACCCTCGCCCCCCCAGGGTCATTCCCTTTAAAATTTTAAATGACAAGGGTTATCAAGCAATAGCTTTTTTGATAGGTCTTTCGTTTGATTTTTTAAAATCAATCGATTCGTTTTCGAGAAAACTAGAAAAATCAATCTTTATCTTAATTTGTTCAGGATAGAAAACAAAAACACGAAAATCATTTTTCATTTCAATAAATGTTCAAAGGGTTTGCCAAATCTACAATTCGTTTATAAAAACGAAACTACCAACATAAACACCAATTCGGAAGATTAGACTTGGCGATTACCAAATAACTCGAATTTTTTTCCGCATTCTTTTCATCAACACAGATATCCTGGGCGAACTGTATTTATTGTTAGACCTGTTTGGCTATTTGATGCTAAGGGAAAGACAGAATTTAATTTGCTGTCAGTTACCTTTGTGACAATCTTGGGATAGTGAAAATCAATTTATTGACACACTAGTCGAAAGAGTGGAAATGATGGCAATTTATGGTGCCCAAAATCAACGTGCTCGGCAAACTGCCGTCACGTCTAACGCCAGACATCCGGGGAACATAACTTCGCATAGGTATGTTTTGGACCTTGTTGCTAAATTTACTCAAACTGGATCTGTTGCAAATACAAAACATGATCATTAGAGAGTAGACTATGGGTCACTTGAGCGTGGGAAAATTTTGCAGACCGTGGGAAAAAGCGGTATCCTTTGATGTTTGGGCGGCATCCTTTGATGCGTGGGTGGTATGTGCGATATGGGAAATGATGAAACCTATGATATACGGACTTGAGTGTGGGAAAATTTTGCGGACCGTGGGAAAATTATGTGGACCGTGGGAAAAGACGGCATCCTTTGATGCCTGGGCGGCATGCTTTGATGCGTGGGCGGCATCCTTTGATGTGTGGGTGATTTATGGATTCTGGTGATTTATTGATTCTGGCGATTTATTGATTCTGATGATTTATTGATTCTGGGGAAAGAGGCAGCATCCTTGCTTGTGTGAAGGGTCATTGATCTTATACTTGCTGGTAGGTACAATGAATGAATAGTTATTGCTAATATACCTGAAACAGAAAAACAGCAGCCGGCATATGTTTCGAACTCGGAATCTCTTGCGTGCAAAGCCAGCACTCTACCACTGAGCTAGAACGAATCGCTGCAAATGATTTACTGAAGGCTGATAAGTGCCAAGGCACACGCATCGTACCAGTGACGTAATAAGTAATTGCATCTCGCAAACAGATGCTACGGATGAAATGTACCTGAAATAGAAAAACAGTGGACGGCGTGTGTTTGGAACTCGGGACCTCTTGCGTGCAAAGCCAACGCTCTACCACTTAGCTAGAACGAGTCGTTGCAAATGTTTTACTGAATGCTGTTGAGTATCGATCCGCCGCACCTGCATCGTACCAGTGACCACAAAAGTAGATAGTGGTTCACTGTGGTCGACCTTATCGGTGTTGTTGTGTTCGCGTACGGTTGTGATAATGATAGTAAGGTGTAGTGTACAGGGGGGGGGTCAAGAATGTTTTATACAGGGGGTGAGTCAAACGTGCGTGACATACGTCATTTATGCCGACATCCAGAGTAGGTACTCTCCCTCAGTGAGGTACACCCTTTCAACTACACTTGCTTGTGGTCGATGAGTAGGTGCTGTAATGATTAATTTTGTACTCTTCCATCAACTTCGTAAAATCACTATTGTAGAATTCTTTACCCAAGTCTGTTTGTAATTTTTTTGGAATTGACTTCATGTGCGACAGAATCGCCCTCATTGCAGTTGTAACATCTTTTTCCGGTTTTTCGTTTGACTGGTTCTGCCCACACAAATTTACTAAAAACGTTGATGACAATTAAAATATATCGGAATCCTTTGTTCACTTTCTGATACGGAAGCATTTCCACCAAATCTGCCTGCAGGAGATCGTTGACCCCCTTCACAATAACGCGCCGACGTCTATAATTTCGGCGAGCTGTTTTATGAAGTTCTTCAACAACTTGCTTTTTAAAGTCCATCATTGTTGTATCAATGGACAGCGCATTACAATATTTGCTATAAGCTGCTCTGGTCTGGGTTCTTTAGATGTGAAGAAATGGAGAATATCACCTTTCGTGAGAGGTGTGTTGTCGGTGAGACTATTTAAACCAATTGTCACTCTTAATTTTGGCGGAACATTTATACTATCAACTATCCCAGTCACATGAACGATATAGTCCTTGCTATTGTCGTTAAATGTGTAAAACTGCTCGTTGGATGTGGAGGAATAAATGGGTACCACACATACGCTAGATAGGTTGGATCTTAGAAAAGTACTGAAGATTGCAGCAGTGTCCGTCTTCTTTGAGCGGAGCATATGTCTTCCAAATTTATCAATTGGCATCTTGATCCTACAACTGCAGCAATGTAAATAAAGTAATATTACGTTACAAATTCATTTTATAATTTTTAATTCACATAACTCCTCAATTATAGACATAATCTCGTTACGATGTCCATTATTACCAGCATACTGTGAAGCTAACAACAAACGTAAACGAGCAACCAATTCATTTGGATCATCAAAATAGATGTAGTCGATTGGTTTATTTGATAAGTGGAGCATTTCTTGACCTGTTTGTTTGAATGAGTGTGTTCGTCGTAACTGACTGTTAGGAGGTGGAGGTTTCTCAAAGGAGCCGGACCTGAGTATGCGCTGCTGCTTTAGAATGTTATGGTCGAATTATATTTCGATATTTGTAGGACGTACTACCATGTATTTGAGTATTAGGTTCAAAATTTCTGCGATATGCGTTTGTGCGACGTAGCATATCCATATACTGATCTAGATCACTCTGCTTATAACCAATTGGTTCTTTTTTGAAAAGCAGTTCATATAATCCAGGTGTGCCAGGATATGTTACATTTTCCACCACGATATTTGCTCCGTCTAGCGTAACCGGACTTTTACCGAGTTGAAACTTGTCAGAAACAATATCATGTGTTAATCCATAATAACGATCAAACTCGCGCTCGTTCCCACGAATTGACTCATCAACATATTTTCGAGGTACAGGGTGAAAGCCTTCAAGATACTCTTGATATGCAGGTGTATCAATTAGTTGGTGGAATTCTTGCGCCACTCGAGCCACGCTTTCATTGATTTGCTGGTTTTCTGTCTCAAACACCGTAGCATTTGGAGTAAGTTCTTCAACCGTAGATACATCTTGACTGCGATGTGGCTCCGGGAGGTTTGAATATGCATCCTCGAGAAAGCTGTAGTTGACAGGTGGTAAATATCGCTGGTATAAATTTTCTGACAATTCTTTATTGAATGATTGTCGTTTCTTCGGTGTGGATGTCACTCATGGGGGTGTAGATTGTTCTTCTTTGATCTGCAATTCTTGTTTAAGTCCTTCAACTTTTGATAAGAGTTTTTGAAACGGTTCTGAGATCGGCTTAAACTGTTGCTGTAATTCCCTTTCCGTTGCTGCAATATCTGATTTAACTGTGAGATACTTTTGTTTAACCGCTTTCCTGGTTTTGACTAGTTCTTTGGCCAGTTTTTGATCCATCTGACTACCTGCGATGTTATATAAGTACTACCCTAAGATTTGCACAGAGTATAGTTATATATATATTACTGTTACAAATTTATGTTGCTGCTAAAACACTTTCTATACCTGCCTCCCTGTCTTGGAGAATCTTTATCAACCACTACAAAGCTATGTGGTTTTTGCCAACACAAACTGCACAAGCTTTTAAATTCGTTGAAAGACATGTCTAGGCTGATATGATCATCATAGATATGTTTCAGATTCAAATTGTCTTGAGGAAATAGTATGAGTAGGTTTATGTTATCCCTTAAGTTATGTTTGGGTGCGGCAGTATACGTTTGACAAATATAGAAACAATCTGTATTACGATGTCTTCAAAACTGAAATATTGTCTTATTATATCCTGATTACATGATGAAACGTCGTCAAAAATTATTACGGAGTTTGGTTTAATGTTTTCTTATGTCGCAATGTTTTCATCTTCACTGTATTCATAATACCCTATTTCGCGAAGCGGTGTTAGTAGTTCTCGTAAATATTTGTACTTGGGTTGGTACAGCGACTTGCAGTACAGATAAACGTTCTCTAATCTCAATCCATTAGGATGTGTTAACAAACTGATCATTACATTAGTTTTTCCAGATCCGCTTGGGCCTACAACTAACGCGCGCTTAGACGTACCATTGAATAGGTTACCATGTTTTCTAAGCGCCCCTTCCTGTGCAAGTCCATCAAAATTCGTCACAGGTACTTGTACGGCTGATGGTTCGATCTTCATTCTGATAGCATATAAATTGTACTGACATCAATACTTCTAGCACAGTCTACTATATATCTGAGAACCGTTACTTGATAGAAGCATATATACGTAAAATGACTGCTTGTCGTGCGAGGAGAAACAGTCACAACCAGTGCGTGGTACGGGTTTCATAAATAAACTTATCGATAAACTACCACTTGAATTGCACATCCCGGGGATATAATTTCTGTGGACCTGGAACAAATTTAAAGCAACGCATTCAGAGAGGTGATACAGGAATTAATCGCTTAGACGAGGCCTGTAAGCAGCACGATCTTGTGTACGCTACCTCCAAACAAAGTGACATTCGTCGTAAAGCCGATAACTTCTTAATTGATCACGCCCTCAAGCGGGTTGCTGCATCGGATTCATCGCTTGGTGAAAAAGTAGCTGCACTGGGTGTCTCAGCTGTCATGAAGATGAAGCAGAAATTGGGTAGTGGCATGAGTCGAAAAAAGTTTTCTTCTCGTATTCGCAAGCCACAACGCATTTTAGGATTGCGAAAAAAAAGTAAGGTCTCCGTAAAAAAAACGACGCATCACATAAAAGTCGAGACTTTTACCGATACCTAAAAAAGGGCGATTCTTACCTATCCTCCTTCCCCTACTTGGTGCGCTAGGTGCACTTGGGGGTGGAGCGTCAATTGCCAAAGCAGTCTCGGATGCGAAAACCAATCAGGCTCAGCTGACTGAACAAAAACGTCACAACCTAGCGTTAGAACAATCTAAATAAGTTCCGGCTGGGTATAAAATAGTGGAAGCACCGCAAAACATAATTTATTTTCCTGTGAGTGTTAGTACGATCAACACCTTGACTGTTAAAGTACTTGATCAAAACAACGATCTTGTAATCTTTAGAAACGAAACCATTACCATACGTTTACACTTGCGCAAAATACATAATGGGTATTAGATACAGTATTCCACATTGGGTGCTTTCCAATCGAACCTATGAAAACAAGATTCGCAGAGTTTCTACTGTTAGTACTCCACCAACCAACGTACCATCACCTCGTCCAAATTATAGACGTTGTCTAACGATTGATAATCCTCAGTTTTTAAAGTCGTTGCGATTTCAATTAATCTAACATGAGCATTTTGAACGTGACAGAACAGCCATTACTTGACACCTCTATTACTGAAATGGAGTATCACACCTATCAACCGTACATTAATGCTAATTTTGATAATAATGATGAAATCAGAATTGCTATTCAAGAATTGGATACCTTCACTTTACCGTCCCAAAGCTATCTTTACCTTGAAGAAACACTAAAGCTGATGGTTCTCCAGCTGAAAACTTTAAATTTGTCAATAACGCATTTAGCTTTTTGTTCCGAGAACTTCGATATGAGTTGAATGGTGTTGTTGTTGATTCTGTTCGAAACGTCGGACTCACTTCAACATTGAAAGGTTATCTTTCTTACAATCAAAATGAAAGTACTAAATTACAAAATGCTGGTTGGTATCCCAAAGAATCGCACTTTTTATCAACCGGTAAATTAAACGTATGCATTCCTCTAAGCATATGGATGGGCTTTTTTGAAGACTACCGCAAAATTATATTGAATATGAAACAGGAATTGGTACTCATACGAAGTAATGATGATATTGATGCAATTAAGGTCGCTACCGCCGAAACACCCCAAAATTACTATTGAAAAAATACAGTGGCGAGTCCCTCATGTTTCCGTCGACATTCCTCAACAATTGGCCTTGACAAAACTTGTTAACAAAAATATTGATATTCCACTGTACTTCCGGAGTTGGGAACTCGTTGAATACCCCTCCATTCCCGCTACGACTAGACATACGTGGCCAGTGAAAACAACTACGAAGCTAGAAACACCGAGGCATGTGATACTCGCTTTTCAGTCAGATAAGAAAAACCAACTACAGTCAAATATGTCTACGTTCGATCACTGCAAGCTAACCAATGTTTGAGTGATTTTAAATTCAGAACGATTTCCTTATAATGATCTCTATCTGGACTTCCTCAATAACAAATATGCTGCCTTGTATGACATGTTTTCAAAATTTCGTCATTCATATTATGAATCCGAAAACGAACCATTGTTTACCCCTGATAACTTTAAAAGTTTGGCACCCATCTCACATATCGACTGCTCTAAGCAGAAGGAAAGTATTCAAACCGGTTCGGTTGTAATGAGAGTAGAATTTGAAACAAGTGAAAATATACCGCCAAACACATCCGCTTATTGCCTTATTCTCTACGATCGTCTTTTTTATTACAACCCTTTGACAAAAATCGTTAAACAACGTTAAACTTATGAGTCTATAAAAACCTCATTCCCTACATTTCCTGGTCAGTTGTATCATGAAGCTCATTTACTACAAAGCTCTTGAGCGATACGTCTCCAAACTTAAACAGTTAAGACAAGACATTGAATCATATTGCTTGCAACAGTGTGTTTTCCATCAGTTTGCTGATTTGCGAATATAAATCTTGTTTTGGATGTGCAAGGATTCATCATCGAACATAATAAATTCAATGTTAAAGAACTTGGTGGGTATGATGGACAACAAATATGTCACTATGTCTTCAAGCCCCCTTTTTGCACTGGATCTGCTCCCACCGGACTTACAAACACAAGCTACTTGGTTGATGCAGAATCATCACTGTATAAATTGGAACTCTGGTTTTACGCCATTACATACCTTTCCCAAAATTATGAATGACTTAACGAAGCATGCTGATCGAATTTTCATCAAAGGACTCGAAAAAGCAAACTACTTGAGACGGTTTTCCCGCAAACCCGTCATCGAATTTGTCGAACAGCCTCGCTTAGAACCCGCTAGCACTGTATGTTTCTCTCACTCCAGGCCTATCACCATGTGTGCACTATCCAACGTATGTTATTTGTAATTATAAGAACTTTATCATGTCATAATTTTTTTTTAAATAAAACAATTATTAAAACATATTAGCTTTTTTTATTCAATGAGTTGTCAGGAAACAGCATGTTAATGGTTATCGATATGTATTTACAGGAATATTTACATAAATTACAGAACATCTTTTCATTTGTACAATCACACTGCATCGACATTGAATCGTTTGATTCTATTAATTGCGATTACAATACGTGCACTCCAAACTTCACTATTTTAAGCGTGGGTTTTTCCTTTTTTTCTTAATATTACATCACAATTTTATTTTACAGTTAAAACTTACAAAACCTAACTTCATACTAATCTTATGCATATCACAGACATACCTTCACTTCACTAATTAACATTTTCAAACCTTTCTGTAAACACTTTTTGTCTATAATCTAGTGTCACGTACTTTTTTTAGCACTTCTTCGACTAGTTGCACTCGCCTTCGAAACCTAACATACATCTATCTGCTACCTCCCAGCTACTTCTTCGTGCTTCTCTGTACGCATGCATACATGGTATATACTTTGTTTTTGGTTTCGTTGAAAGATACGGTCTTTGGAATTATATTGAGATGGTCACCTTTTTTGCATTTATTACTTTTGTAGGTGCACTCCTTGGCCGCCCCACTGCTTTTGTCTTCTGCCAACATTGTTTCCACCCTCTTCAACTATGCTTCCGTCTGCTAACAATATATACACTCTCTGCACCACTGCTTCCTTCATTGCTACTGCAGTTGGCGGATTCTAATTCTTTCCTGCAGCCTCCATCTCAGTCTCGCATTACGCGACATGCCTGGAGGTACATCCCTAATAATGGGTCTATTTTCTACATTAGGGATGTAAGTTTCAGAAGGTGGATCATCACCCCAATTTTCTTCCGTTGGTAGGTACTTCCGGAGCAGGGTTCCTGGGTCCATATCTTCGGAATCCATCCCGCCGAACCGGTGTAGTGTCAATGGGCGTCCTGGATCCCGTTTCAGAAGGTGGATCATCATCCCAATTTTCTTCCATTGGCACTTCCAGAGCAGGGTTCCTGGGTCCATATCTTCGGAATCCATCCCGCCGAACCGGTGTAGTGTCCATGGGCGTCCTGGATTCCGTCCGCTGGTGAGGTGGTGTGGTATCCATGAGCCATCGATCATCATCCCAATTTTATTCTTCTTGATGGGAAGACTTTATTTTAAACGGTCTTACCACCGCCACAGGCTTTCCTTCCTACACCGTAGGCAACTTAAATTTCTGTAGACTCATTGCTTCTTACACACTGTTTGCTAACAACTGACTTCTTTCCGCGCGTTCCACAATTTAAGCACATATTTCCAAGGTCATCCCTTCTACATCTCAAGGTCGTTCACTCCTACAAGGTCACACTCACTCAAGGTCGAGAGTGCTCGAGGGCATATATGTTCAAGGCCACACTTCAAGGTCACTCGGAAACTCAAGGTTACATTTCAAGGTCACACTCCAAGGTCTCATTTCAAGGTAACTCGAAAACTCAAGGTCACACTTCAAGTTTACTCGGCAAATTCAATGGAATGGAACATACAAAGGTTCCAGAACATACAAAGGTATGTTCTGGGACGCCCTTGAGCGCCGACCTTCGGTGCCAAACGTCCTTGAGAGCTGAATTTTGGTGCCAACCTTGAAATGTGACCTTGAAACGTGACCTTGAATTTGTCGAGTAAACTTGAAGTGTGACCTTGAGTTTTCGAGTTACCTTGAAATAAGACCTTGAAGTGTGACCTTGAAATGTAACCTTGAGTTTCCGAGTGACCTTGAAGTGTGGCCTTGAACATATATGCCCTCGAGCACTCTCGACCTTGAGTGGGTGTGACCTTGTAGGAGTGAACGACCTTGAGATGTAGAAGGGATGACCTTGGAAATATGTGCTTAAATTGTGGAACGCGCAGAAAGAAGTCAGTTGTTAGCAAACAGTGTGTAAGAAGCAATGAGTCTACAGAAATTTAAGTTGCCTACGGTGTGGGAAGGAAAGCCTGTGGCGGTGGTAAGACCGTTTAAAATAAAGTCTTCCCATCAAGAAGAATAAAATTGGGATGATGATCGATGGCTCATGGAT